CTGCGGCCCAGAGTGGACCATTATGAAATTCAAACTTCGTGCGCGTGTCCTCTATATAGTTCGCGATTTTGGCGACTACGCTCGAACGTTGGTCACACCGCAGACACCACCACCAGCAAGAGCCCGCCCCATGCTACCATCACAAGCTTCGCCAGGTATGTGACGCTCCAACCTCACGCCCTGCGCTACCTTCCAGTCGGAATGTTTTGGTTTGCGGAAGGGGTACCGGGGAAAGGTAGCAAATATGAGATGTGCCAAGGATTTTTGGAAAATTGAGTGCGGGGACAAAGACAGAATTGAAATCTCCCCGTGTTGGTCCGACTGTAGTAAGAAGAACGTCCGTCGTTGCGCGGGGCGTATGGAAGAACAAGGCGCGCGCGAGACTCGCAGCTATGGGAAATTCAATCTAAAAAGTATCGATGGACTTCCCAGCGAGCCGTCGCTCTTCGTTACGAGTGAAAGGGGGCGGGTACACATGTGGTATCCCATTTTCGGACGAGGTCTCGTCAGCGCTCGTTACACAACTCCGAGTCCGACGTGGAAGACCTCAATCGAGTAGCCTTCTCTTTGTGCTCGTCCTCGCCACGTGTACGATAGTGGAAACCCTTGGCCTGGTAACGCTCGAAGCGACGACAGTCGCTGCACAGAGTGTCAGGCCAATGAGGCTCCACTGCCGTCCACGGGACGACGATCAGTTCGTTAAATGGCAACAACAATGAATAGGGCGGAAAGTGCGTAACAAAACCCGGACCAACAAATCCTGAGCACTGAGCTTCGGGAGAAAAGTAGCATCGCCCTCCAATTTTGGCGACGACTTCTCGTACGTCCCACTCGCATACACGTATCCTTTCCTCGTTGTACGAGAAGGGGCGAAGCGGGGGTACGGGAAGGCTCACTTGCACTGACGATCCCGGTCGTCACGTGCCAAATCCACCATTGTGATCGTCACCCCGCTGACTTAGCCTCTGCACGGCCCTGCTCGGATCCCACAGTCCTTCGGGCGATCCAGCATGCCGAGTGTCCAGACTACAGCCAGCTCATTGGGACTTTTCGACTCGCACCTTCCTTCATGCCATCTAGCCACAGCTTCCTGGAAGCGGGCTGATGAGTCGAGAGAGAGATTTTCGGGAGCGCTTGTGAAATTTCTAGCTGCGAAAAAGAAGATAGACGCTAGGGAGAGTTATGATTGAGACAGGGAGTAGGGAAGGGCTCAGGGATTGCCCAATGAAAGCCGTGTCGATCCTTTGGATCCCAGATGTAACCAATCAGAATCGTCGTGTATTAGGAATTTCCTTCTTACACGGAGTGTCTCCTTGGCTAGAGGGAGTGAAAGGGGGTCGACAGGGTATTTCGGCGCGGGGATCAGAGCGGGAAGAAGAAGAGCGTGAAGAATGGCGGGAAACGGAACCAAGATTCAAACGATTAAGAAGGAGATAAAAGACGTGCGAGGCGAAGGGGAGATGAAAAACGGTTACAGAGAGAGGAGCGTGAGTGCGAAGAAGAGAGTGTCGAGGGCAGCGTGGGAAGCGGGGACGCCTGCATGGCGCCGACGCGAAGGCAAAAAGGGCATCGAAACAATTACCGCTAATTCAAATTGAAAAGTACCATATCCTCGTGGTATAGCAAGCGTGGAAGAAAGTCCTATGCCTATTCAAATTCCTGCGAAAATTCCTACAGCTTTCCAAGACGAAGTTGAGAACATTCATGCGCAAGAAAGGACACGTTAGATTCCGCCCATTCCGGAATTCTTAATCGTCGACCCAATTTCCTAGCGTGCTTGCTAGGGCGCGCGTAATTCCCATGTAATTCCCGAATTTGCAAAAGACGAAATCCCAAAAATCGATCCAAAGGTCCCGCATATTACATTCATAAAAATACAAAAAGAGGCCTCATCGGGCTGTTAACAAAACTCGACAAAGAAAGGGGGGGGGGAAGGGCGGAAGATAGCGCAGGTCCGGAAGCTGGAGTGTCACAGGTAGATGACCCCGCCATCCGCCTTCTTCCACCATCATCTCCTCCTCCATCCTCCATCTTTTTCTCCTCCTTGTAGTCATCCTCATCCTCATCCTCCTTTTCGATCTCTTCCTCCTCTCATCCTCGTTCTCCTCCTCCTCTTCTTCTTTTTTCTCCTCATCGCCGTTCTCCTCTTCACCCTCGCTTCTTGTCCTCGTCCTTGTCCTCCACCTTCCTTCTTCTTTGTCCTCCTTCCATGTCAGTTTTCCTCCTCGTCCTCCTTCTCCTCCTTTTTTTCCTCCTCCTCCTCCTCCTCCTTCTCTTCTTCTTCCTCCCCGTTGTCCGTTTGTTTGTGTTGTCCTCGGAGTCGACCTTTTGTTCGTCGTCCCTCTAATTGTCCTCCTCCTTGTGTTCTTCGGTTTCCTCCTCCTCCTACATCCTTCTTCTTCGTCCTCCATCTCGTCATCCTTGTCGTGATCCTCCTCCTTCCTTCTTCGTCATCCTTTTCTCCATCTCTTTTCCTCCTCCTCCTTTCTTTGTGCCTTGCTCCTCCTTTTCTTCCTCCTCCCTCTTCTAGTCCTCTTCTTCGTCATCCTCCTCCTCCAACCTTCTTCTTCCTCCTCCATCTCTTCGTCATTTTTGTCGTCCTCGTCCTTCATTGTTCGCCATCGTCTTCTTACATCTCTTCTTACTTTCCCTCCTCCTCCTCCATCTCTTCGTCCTCGTTTTCCTCCATCTCACAGCTGCGGCAATGGAGTCTTGATGTGGACCACAGATAGTCTACGAGCCACACCGTCATCCTATGCCATGGCGTAATCAAGCACCTCTGGTCCCCACGGGTATGGTAAGCGTAGGAGTGAAATGACAAAATGACCACCATATCCACGACCAGGGTTACCAGCCCGTACGTACGGAGGCCCCCGGGCGGACCTCCGTACGTTCGGGCGTTCGGGGTCCCGTACGGGGCCCGAACCCGACGGCGTTCGGCCCCCGCCAAAAAATATTTCGGGGCCTAAAAATATATTTTTTTTCTGAATTTTTTTTATGAGTTCTCTATGAAATGAGGTACATGCCTATAAATTTTCAAGTCATTTGGCTTAGCCAAATAAGAATTAAAAATCGCCAACGATGGCGGTGTCAAAACGTGCTCGCCCACGTTTTTTTTCACTTTTGACTTTTTGTTTTCACTTTAGTTCGGGGTCTACACAATTTTATTATTTTTTGAAACTTTTTTAGTGGGTTTTGTATTATGTGAAGTACACATCTGTAAATTTTCAGGGCATTTAGCTATGACAAAAAAAAAAGAAAAATCGCCAAAGATGGCGGTGTCGAAAGCATGCTCGCGCACTCACTAAATTTAATTCTCTTTTTATTTTCATTTATTTTTATTATTAGTATTTGTTCTGTATATTTTATTTTTATTTCAAATTTGGTAAGGAATTCGGACGTAATTCTCAGGCAAATCTTGTTTAATGTATTTTTCTCCATAACATATCTTTTTTTCAGATTTGTTTGATGACTTTTTTTTTTTTTTTTTTTTTTTTTTGGTCCGCGTTCGGCCCGAACGACCGAACGCATCCCCAAGGGGTCCCATACGTTCGGGCGTTCGGGTTCGGGCGTTCGGCCCGTCCCGAACGCCGGTTACCCTGTCCACGACAATAATCTGCCTATCCTCTTACCTGCTCATCACTCTCACAAGCGCCAACTCAGCACTTTCCAGCTCGTGCCTGACGCCCCAACACCTACGCCATGTGGAAGCGCCTGCGCTGCCAAGCAGCGCTCTTGCTGGTCAGCTTGCGCACAACTGTCGCATTGTGCAGCACTCGCCATGCAATGCATCTGGTATGCAGTGCTTGCGCTGCGACCCTCTTCGTCCCGAACCCTTGCCGCAGTCACAAAATAATCAAAAGAGGTTGAGATGGAAAGTGGACCAAATAGTAGTTAGCCCAGCCAATGGGCCCAGTAGGAGCACCACTGGTTCCCAGGGGAGGTCTGAGCCCATGAGTTGTCTCCAAGCCATGTCCAAGCATCGCCATATTTATATTGTCATAGGGCAGGACATCAGTCAGTGGTCGAGATCTGTTGTTGGAGCAAAAACCTTACAAGGGTATGTGCTCGAGTTTTGTTATGTCAGACGCTGTCCGACCTTTATGGACAAAAGGTTTTGAAATGAAAGACTTAGTGAGATTGGCGCATCTGCCGAAAGTTTATTCAAACTATACCTATGACCGAAACACCTAGCAAAACTTTACTGACTCAAGTTCGGGCGTTTCCCGACATTTTGGAGAGATAGGTGACGACCGACGGTGTGACCGGTTGTATTCCGCTTTTGGCGAGGCCCGGAGGACGCATGGACACAGGGGCGTTGGAATACTAAAATTGAAGCTATCCTATATAAAAAAAAGAGACGTGCAGCTGCACTGCCACATGATTCAGAGCCTAAATGCGTAAAATGAATAGCCACGCAGGGTGTCATGGCTGTGGCGCAAAAAGAATGGGCCACTTAGCTTAGTTTCTAAGTTATTTTGTCGGCCTTTTGGGCAAAATTATGCTTCAACCTAGTAGGTTTTTGAAAGTGGGTCAATCGGGGTTTGATACAGCAACACCCTCGCCTAATGGACACCCCTACAGTCTAGGAACAAGCGGCCACCCATTTGAATAGCCGGAGCAGGCAAAGCGTGCTAAACCACAAATCGGTGACATGCTGGGACAATATTCTCTTCATCGAAGTACCACTCTTACTTCCTCTGAAGTAGGAGCTAGAGTAGTAGGTAACAACATTAAAGTCTCGCCCTGCAGGTGAGGTGATCGAACCCAACCCGTCTCTGGGCTAGCTCCTTTTGGAGCAACCATGGGGAAACACTTAGGGTCGATGATAGCCAGGCCCCCTTTGGCTCTTGGTTGGGCCAGCTGAGTCCATGCTACGTGCTCTATACAAGCTCTCAATTCTTGGCTGTTTCTCCATAAATAGCCGGTTGTTACTTCCTTCTATTGGATGAGTTGTTTCTGGGGGATAGCCCAAAACGTTGCTTTATACCAAATGGTGGAGAGGATTGAGTAATTGATTGCTAGAGCTCTACCAACAAAAGCAGTGTGTAGTCCCTTCCACCTGGCTATCGCTTGGATTGTTGTTTGTACCAGGTGTTCTGCATAGTCCTTAGGCAGACCCAGAGCAACGAGTCTCACCCCTAAGGCCCAAATGGCTTCTTCTTTTGGTCTCCAGTTGACCAGTGGGTCTTCTGCAACTTAAAGTTCTGGTGGGAGGGCGCCTGTTGTGTGGAGCCACCACCCCTCCACCACAGGCTGCATCACATTGAGCGTTTTTTTGAGGTTGGTTCAGAACTCGCCCTTGTCCAGAATGATAGTCGTCACCTCGTGGAATGCCACCAATTGGTCCGCCAGTACCATCTTGTCCACCCATCCCGCATCGCAGACGCATCGATCCAATGCGTTCTTGAGGTCCTTCAAAGCCCCAAGCATCTCGAAGTTGGTGGCAAATCTGGTTGTCGTCGGGCGCTTCAACTTTGTCTTTCGTGAGTAGTTGTTGGACATAGCCCTCGCCTTGTCCACATTCGTGAACAACTTGCCGACCATGTTCCCAGCATCAACCACCTCCGTCATCCAAGGCATGTCCTTGTACATGTCCTGCAGCGCAAGCTCGAGATGCGCACTACATCCGACGCGAAAGATGTTAGGATAGGCGGCCTCCACCATCTTCCCAACCTTGGCACATACCCTTGTGTTGTCCATGACGACGATGACGACTGCATCCGCTCCGGTCTCTCTCATGACCCCATCCAAGACACGAAAGTAAGCTTCGGCGTTCTTGTCCTTGCCCTCCATGCGCACAGACTTCCAGAAGATGGTACTGACTGATGAGGATACCATGACATTCCGATGGGGCTTGTTCCGGTGGTCGGATCACTCGTCCTTCTGCAACATACACCCGGACTTCTTCCAGTTACAGATTAGGGAACGGACCTCCGCCCCTGCTCGAGCATAGTCAACATCCAAGCGTTTTGTCCTTTGTTCATCCTTTTTGCACGACATCCACGTCGGATGGGCCTTCTTCACCTCGTCGATGAACTCCGAGAAGTATTCATCTTCCACCAAGCTGAACGCCTGGTTCATGCAGGTCAGAAATCTGTCGACAAACCGACTCGTCCACTAATTATGTGTGACGACACTGTCAGCCTCCTCGATTACTATCTGCCACAAAGGTCCCCTTGGAACTTCCTTGGAAGACTTCGACCCAAGAATTGTGCTTGCGGTCGACTGAGGCGTGGTTGTTTTGCCAGTGATGCCCGCTATACCCACCTGTGAGCTAGGAAACTCGGGGACCTCACCGGCGGCTGTCCGCGAACTGCTGGGGCCGGACCCTTTGGCCTTTCCGTACATCAACACGCGAGCAAGCCATTTCCCCTGCCTTATCCCCTCTTCTCTCCTCGCCCTCTCCTCCACTGACATTTCAGTTGTGCAATAGTCAAGGCTGCACTTGTCGAGGAAGTGATCCCTATACTTCGTTGCAATCCCGGTAAAACGATGCTCACAATACTTGCACCTCTTGTGCTTTGATCCCTTGAATGCAACCTTCCCCACAACGCCCTGTGCGATGAAGTGCAACTTAATATGGTCTATAAGATGCTTGGCTGACATCTTTCCCTGCATGACACGAACAATACACACCGCAAACAGGGATCTCAACCCCTACAAAGGCAACCAAAAACGTCTCGAAAATAAATATACAACGACAACTCTAAAAAAAAAATTACGAAGACACATGGGCGAAGGTGAATGGAGGAGAAGGACGAAGAAGAAGAGGAGTAGAAGGAGGAGAGGAGGAGGAAGAAGAAGAGCTGGAGGAGGAGAAGGAAGAATAAGAGAAGCAACAGGAGGAGGAGGAGGAGGAGGAGGAGGAGGAGGAGGAGGAGGAGCCGCACCCGCAAAAAAAAGAAAAGTCACGTTAAAGGAAGAGGAGGAGAGGAGGAGGAGAAGGATACGGCAGGAGGAAGAAGAAGAAGAGGAGGAGGGGGAGGAGGAAGAGGAGGAGGAGACAGAGGAGAAAGGAGGAGAAAGAGGAGAAAGGAGGAGAAAGATATAGCAGAAGCTGTGGAGGAGGAGGAAAAGGGAGAATACGAAGAGGATGAGAAGGAAGAAGAAGAGCAGGAGGAGGAGGAAAAGGAGGAAGAAAACTACCCGGAAAAAAAATAAAAAAAATAAAAATTGTCACATGGCACATCAACGTTAGAGTAGGATGAGGAGGATGAGGATGATGATGATGACGAAGAGGAGGGGGAGGAGGAAGAGGAGGAGGAGGAGGAGTAGCCACACCGGCAAAAAAAAAAAAAAAAAAAATCATGCCACGTGGCACGTCAACGTAGTAGTAGTAGTAGTAGTAGTAGGAAAACTACCCAGAAAAAAAAAAACATTGTGCCACGCGGCACGTTAACGTTGGAGGAGGACGAGGATGACGAGGAGGAAGAAGATGACGAGGAAGAGGAGGAGGAGGAGGATAAAAGTGTGGTGGAGGAGGAGGAGGATACAGTGCGGCGTAGAGGAGGAGGAAGAGGAAGATATGGCGGAAGCAGATGAGGAGGAAGAGGAGGGGGAGAAGGAAGAAGAGGAGGAGGAGGAGAAGTAGCTGCTTAGGCAAAAAAAAAAAAAAAAATGCCGACAAGGAGGATTATATGAGGGGAGAAGTGGAGGTTGAGGAAGATATGGGGAGGGGGAGAGAGAGAGAGAGAGAGAGAGAGAGAGAGAGAGAGAGAGAGAGAGAGAGAGAGAGAGAGAGAGAGAGAGAAAGCTGGTCGTGCCCACCATCATGATTGCCCACTGCCTCCTGCTGCTACCTCCCGCCGCTGACTGCTGCCTTCGAAGGCTGTCTCCTCCCGCTGCCTCCTGCCCTAGCCTTCTCGACCCTCCGTCCTCCGTCCTCTTTCCTCCCTCTTCCCTCCTCGTTGTCGTCCTCCCTGGTCCTTCCTTCCTCCTTAGTCAATCCTTATCTTCCTTCCAATGACGTCCCTCCTCCGTCCTTCGTTGTCTTTGTCGTCATTCGTCGTCGTCTTCCCTTGTCGTTGCCGTCCCTTCTTCCCTTGTCGTTGTCCTCCCTCCTTCCTAGAAGAAGTGACCCTCCTCCCTCCTTCGTCGCCCTTGTCGTCGATCCTCGTCGTCGCAGTCGTCCATCCACCGACAGGACCCCTAGCTGCACACAAACATGGCCACGTCAAGTGCGAAACTGGCTCCGACCCTGTCACAATGTTTTTTTTGGGGGGAATGGCTTGCACAATTCGAATTCAAATTCTGCAGACATTCACCCCCCCAAAAAAAAGTTTGGGGCTAGGGTGGGGCCGGTTTCGCACTTGATGCTGGTGCGGGTCGCCTGATTCCCAACAAATGCACAACTGGGACTATACAGCAAAAGGAGGGTATAGAGCCTCCCACCCAAACGACCAGGTGTCATGGTAGGTCGTTCTAAGGTGCCATAGGGATTTGCCACTGGAAGATAATCTTACATGGACCTCATATGCCTGTCTGATGCCTACTAATCTCAGACCCTTCCAGTGGTAGATTTTAGACAGATGACCCCGACTCCACACTGGTTCATATCCATGACAAACTTACAACAAAAATGAATGTTGTGGCCAATATGTCCGTACTGTGGTAAGTCGACCCACAAAGTCTGAGCCACCATACAACGCTGCTGGCAAGCTTGTCCCATGGTTGCCCGACTATAGCAATGGTGGGAAGCAACTTTCCACTCCTAATGGATGAACACATTTTATGGGATCTGGTCCTGTTGCTCCTAGGCAAGAACCAACAGTCAACCAGAAATTGCACCCCACGCGCAGTTAACCTCTTTCCAATACATGAATTGTGAATCCTTATTTTGGCGTGGAGGGCCAAATGCTCATTCGAGAGGAAGTACCACCAGATCGGATCACAACAAGCACAAAAGGAGAGAGGAAACGTGAGCCCACAAAGTGGACACATTAACGGCAATGCGGAACAATTACCTCGCAGCAACAACAATTATTGCCCCCCATCTCTCCTCATGAAGGTGCCCTAAGCAGCAAAAGATAGAAGCTACGCTTGCTGATGGCAGGACATGTTGATCTACCCCTGTCTAAACCTGGTGTACTTATCCTACCAATCAGACTGAAAGGAGGCATTTGGGAGGTAGGATTATCAGAACCGAAAGGATCAATACACGGAGAGGTCACAGTACATGGAACCCCAGTGAGCACTCTCTCATCACTGTTTGGTAAAATGTCAGGGGAAGCACGCTTTAAAGCTGAGATCGTTAAGATTATTCAAGCCCAGTTTCCACCTGATGGCTCTGCTGTGCTTATCCTATCTTCAAACGCTCATATGATTTCAGCTAAGGATGTGTTCCTTAGATATGAGCACACACGAGCAACTAACTTACGCTGGTTCACTCGGGACACGCTAACAAAGCTTCAACAAATGAAGGTCAAGGCATGTGACTTCTGTTCAGAAGTTGACATCACGATCCCGCCTCCTAAAGAATGGGCAGACCTTACTGGATCAAGGTGGAAAGTTAGACTCTGGTCACTGGTTGACCTTGTAAACCACTCCATATACAACCGTTTGACAAATAAAATAAATCATGGAAGATACAAATGTGTTGGAGGTGATATACAATAGGAATAAGCACTGGAAACTCCTAAAAAGAGCTACAGACCTAGACCTACGGTCAATCAATGTAAATGTTTTTTTTTTTTTTTTTTTTTTTTTTGAACAAAAATCGCCCCCACCACTGTTAGTGCTGCTGATAAGAGCAGACACCACTAACACCTGGGGAGAGGCTCCATCTATTCGTGGGGAGCATCACCTGTTGGAAAGCGGGTCCAGTGTCCCTTACACAAACTGAAATTGAAGTACAACAGAAAACAATTGTGAGATGTTCCTGCCAGCATTGATTGCCCTCGGGTCTAGGGGATTGACTGGGCAGGATATTAGGAGGAAGGGGGAACCTCTTCATCTTGAACCCGGCGCCAGATACACTGCTACACCCTAGTTCCACCCTCCCCTGTTCCCAAAGTATGACGATCTGTTTTCCTTCACGAGGGTGTACTAAGAAAACACCTGCCAGCATTGATTGCTCTGGTGTCCAGAGGATTAACTGTGCAGATTATGTTGCTAAGATCTAATTTCTTCCTCCCTCCGCTGCTTCCACACGCCCTATCGCAGTTCCGCTTCTGGGCTTGCTGTTGCTTGAAGGCTGCTACATCCTTGGCATGAATTTATTCTGCCCCGTACCATTGCAGATCCACCACTGAGAGTCCATGGGGGAACTCCGATGAGGGGCGCAACGGTATTGCAGGGTTTGTCATGATCCATTTTTAAAACAAAGGGTGTCATCTCTTCTTAGCTCGCCTTGACTGTGCTCTGGGGGGACCTCTTCTTGCCATCGAATATAGGCTATCCAACCCCCTTGCTCAATCCCCAACCAGTCCCCTGAGAATTGTTTGATAGTTTGGGATATGTCCTTTTCTGTGTAAAGGCTGTCTAGTTGTAATTTTACCTTCAACCGATGTGCCCGCAACTCATCTTGGACGTATTGTTCAAGTTTAATAATTTCCGTAACTTCTTCTCCCTCTATTCTGACACCTTTGATAGCGTGAATGCACCGTTTTCTCCATAGTGCTCAAATGATTGCCCTCCTCCCTGTCTTAAACATGTTATCTTCAAATGTATTATGCGTGGGGGAGGACCAGGTTTCACATAGGAGAGTTCTCTAGTTCCAAGGCCACTGGGATTCAATATCCAGTTGTCTCCAGACCTGTCCCACCAGCGCTAGGTAAGAACCGCCCCCGGACATTACATGAAAATGTGTTCTATGGTCTCATGAATCTTGCAGTGGGGGTAGGAGGCTAGGCAGGATTTGCACCATGACACTGCTAAACTCTTCTATTCCAAATACGCCCGGTCTATTAGCTAGTCGTTTGTTGG